TTTTACTCAGCATAATACCCTCTAGTTCCATCCCTGTTGTTTCAACAATTGAATAACGATAAAGATAACCACTATAATGAATTGAAATGCATAAAACATCTATATCCATGAGTCCACAAAGATACATAAGAAAACTTTCTTGGTCACCTTAGGATGTTAGAAAACAAGGTCATTATCTTAAGCTAGAACATTTATCCTGCATTTTCTATACAAAGCATATGTCAAGTAACTAATCTGGTGAGGGAAACTGCTGTTATAAATCAGCCCAACTAATAAATAATGAATGCTGGAATTAGAACATCACCATTTGCAACCCTTAATGAGTTAACGGATCTAAGCAATAATCATGAATGGCTGCTAACATCACAAAAAAGAATGATAACCAAACATTATGTGCCTCTTGATAGAAGTATCCGGAATCACCTATTGAAGTATTCTTGCCCCAAAAAACAAACCTGAATCTGATCAACCCTCCAGATCTAACTACCAGTTTATAGAAAGCTCAGGGAGGAACATACCAAACAATACCACAGGATTACAATTAGGAAAAAAAGAAACAAACAAAAAACAGATACAAATACTACAGGACAAACAACCTTGCTTCTTCAACAAAAATGTATGAGAAAAAAAAGAGAAAAGAATGAGAATCCTTGTTTTCAAAAGTCTTTAGAGATGTTAAACATTTTAATATATAAACCTTATTTGAATCTGACTCACAGAAACTATAAAAAATAAAAAAAAATTGTGGAAATTTAAGCATTAATTGTTTATTTAAGGATATTAAGAAATTATTATCAGTTTATTGTGATAACAGAAATGTGGTTATGTTTATTAAGAGTCCTTACATTTTTTTCAATTAAGCTTTTTGAGATAACAATAGATTCCATACGCAATTGTAAGAAATAATACAAAAAGATTATTCATACCCTTCAGCAGCTCCCCAATGATAACACCTTGCAAAACCATAGTACAATATCACAACCAAGATACTAACATTGATAGGTCAGACACAGGACATTTCCATTGCTACAATGTTCCCTCTCATGTTGCCTGGTATAGCCACACTCTCTTCCTTCCCACCTACACCTCCTTCTCTAACACCCAACAAGTACAAATCCCCTCTCTAATTTCAAAAATGTTAGATTAAGTGGAATCATGTATTATGCAACCTTTTGGGATTGGCTTTTGGAATTCAGAATAATTTTCTGGACACTCATCCAGGTTGTTCAGCATACCAGTAGTTGGTTCCTTTGTGCTACTGGATAGGATTCCCTAGTAAGGATGCACAACTTCATTTAATCTCCATGGTCTGAAGGACATCAGAGTTATTTCCATTGGGCTATTATGGATAAAGCTGCTGTAAACATTAGGTATAAAGTCCTTGTCTTTTAAAGATACATACTTAAATTTGTATGGATGAGATATAATGTTTAAGATTTGCTTCCTAAATATTCCAGATTGGGTGAGATACTATATATATATATATATATATATATATATATATATATATATATATATGAGATTGGTCATTAGCTTGTAAATGCTTTATACTACTAATCTACTTTTGGATATGTTTATAATTTTTCATAATATAAGGTTTAAAAATAAGAAGACGGTAAGAAACAATTACTTATCTGACCACTTCCACATAAACACACACATCTTCAAGTAAAATTGAAAGTATGCTTTGTTACGACTTTTAATCTGTGCCAAGATCACAGGAGTTCTTTATCTAAGACATGGAGCCCGCACATGCAAGTAATCATTTTTGTAACATTCACTGTACCAATATGGGCAGATGCAACCTAGGCATCTGTTAACTTTCTTTCAGAAGTTCTTTATTAGGCTACAGGGTTGAGATAATAGGTAATTCATAATGTTGGACAAAAGCAGGTAAGTAATCACCATAATCAAATGTATGAGATTCATTAGTGGCTTGTCGTCAAAAGAGAGGGTTCATGTCTGACATGAACAGGTCCTTATCATCAAGACAAACGCTGAGAGAACAGAAGTGTGATTACTAAAGATGAAGAGCAACAAGCTATATGAGCACAATCAAGCCTGAAGATGAAGTGAAACGCATTTTCTATTGCGCAGAGGCTGCTTTTGTTTTTGAGCCTGTCTGAAGGACAGGATATTATTATCACGTTCAGTCTGCAAGCTAATGGTTCTTTACTATAATTCTGCAAAACACTATCTACTGTTTGGTGCCACCGATAGTCTATCAGCCCATTCTCCCCAGTGCTCTATCATAACCTCCCTTTCTCCCAGCTGAGGACACTCAGTGTTTCTCTCCACATGTGGTTTTACAAAAACGAAGATCCACTCTCTCAAAGATCTCAGGCAAAGAAGAGCATGTAAATACCAATCCATTAGCTAATCTAGGAATAAAAGCCAAGACCACCAAAGGAGACATTCACGATGACTTTCGAGTGCCAACTAATACAAGAGCGACAAGTGAGTTTCCCTGTCTAGGTCTTTAATGCCCACACATGCACTGCAAAGGGCAATTCTAAAGCTGCCACAAAGTTTGTTGTCAAAGGTGGGATAGCTGTCCACGGACCAATCCACATAAGACAAATCCCAAAGGAAGACCTAAATGTTCCAGTTGTGTTGCAGTTTGGATATATCAACCAGCCCTCACACTTGGGTCTTAGAAATAATAGTGCTTATTGTGATTGGATTTGATCATTACTACTATACTATGACAGGAGGAGTAGATGGTCCATTAACAGGCTGTCTACATGACACTTAAGTGACTACAGATTAAAAGATATTAGTCAATTCAGTTACAATCAATGTACAGATTGGTTTATTTGGTCGGTTTAGCAGCTTGGAGTTCTACCAGCAGAAATCTCTTTGCAACATCGTATTAGGAAACTAAGAAAATGCAGTTGAGTTCAAAGTCTTGTTCATATGTTACAAGTCAGAACAGAGACACATAGAATTAAAACCCAAAATGACATAGATCGCCAGGAATTATGCTATAGGCTTGCACTGAGATTGATAACACTGACAGAAAAAGGGGAAGGATAAGAAATGGGCTCAAGAACATAATGTAAAATGTAAATGAAAAGAAGCAGAGAAAAAAGGCACTAAAGGTAAATGCAGATGTACTTTTGGATGTTTTGCCATCTATCTTTTGCCTCTAATCTTTGCCATCTTCCTTGACTCTTCCAACCAAACGTTTTCTGGGTCCTGTGGATTCTGACACCACAGTATACAATCTGAGACAGCCTTTGGTCACAGGCAAGACACTGGAAGTTGAAGCTCTTAGCACTCACCTTGATGCTTAAAGGTTATCTAAAATGCTTCGCATAAAATGAAATGTTCTTGCCAAAAATCTCTATGATGCATTTGCTTATGTATCTTATTCTTCTTCTTCAGAGCAAACACCCATGCCTGGGTCTACAGAACTGGAATTTCAGAGGGGACCATTTTTGTGAGCTGAAGTGGTTTCAATAAAGGAACATGAGAGAACAAAAGGAAATAGAAAGATACAACAAAGGCAACAGGGAAGACAAGGCTGGAAAGACTTCCAAGAATAAACTGCACAGGATGGCTTCTGGGAAACGAACAGCCATGTTTGGCAGGAGCTGAGACTGTGTACAGTGGGGTCAAAGATAAGCTTGAAAGGACAGGCTGGAGCCAGGGAATGGCAGCCACTTGAGCCCAGGTGAGGCATTTAGACCACATGCCATAGGCCTTTGGACCACTACTGCAGGTTTGTGCATAGGCAAGATACACACATCATGGTTAGGAGGATGTGATTAATGATAGGGCAGGGAGGAAGGAGCAGAAGACTGAGGTTTGAGGCCTTACTAACTATTCCAGGTGAGGCTAGAGGACTTGATCTAAGAGGGCAATGGTGGGAAAGGAGAGGAAAGGATTAACTTGAGGGGCTGTGTTAAATATGCATGTACTTAAACTTAGTTTTGTCCTCAATTAAAACCTAGAAAATGGTCATTTACAGCTACTGTCAAAGAACTACTTACAAGATGCTAAGGATTCTTACGTTGATTGGGAGGTAAACTGTCATTATTATGATCAAACACATAAGAGGGCATAAAAATTCTAATGGCTGATAAAATCATTTTTAAAGGAAGCTTTGATTAAGCTTAACAGAGCCTGGGAAAAAATAAGATTTTTGACATAAGTAAAAATTATTTTTAAGGAGACCATGATTGGTTGCAAGGTGATGAGTATTTTAAAATTTTTAAAATAATTAACTGCTGATTTTAGCAAGGCACTAATAATGACTTATATGATTGACAGATCTATTTTTCCCTACTTTTGCAATTCTACTTTTTATATGTACTTTTGCAGATGTATTTTCTCTACGTTTTTCAGATCCCTATTGCAAACCTCTTATTAATCAAAAGTTTATTATTTTTTTGCAAATGTACCTATTAGCAAAACTCTGAAGCATTGTAGGTGACACAAGCTAAATCATGTACTTCTTAGTGAATATGCCAACTTAGTTACTACTCTCATTTACTTAATACATTTTTATTGAGCATTCACTATATGATAAGTACTGTGCCAATGCTGGGTGTACAATAAAGAGAGAAAAAGAGGTGCCTGGGTGGCACAGCTGGTTAAGCATCCGACTCTTGATTTCCGCTCAGGTCATGATCTCAGGGTTGTGATCCCAAGCTCAGCGCAGAGAGAGAGAGAGAGAGAAAAAAACAAGGTTCTGCCCACATGGGAATGCACAGTACAATGACAAAGAAATACATTAATTAAAAAAAACTGTCCAAATATATAATTGAAAATTTTGATAAGCACTATAAAGGAAAACTGCAGGTTGCTTTGAGAGCTTGTAACAGGGAAGAGAAACCATCTCTGGGTCTGAGAAAGTATTTTAAAGGAAACTGTCTTTGAACTGAAATCTGTAAGGATGTAGAGGAATGAAACAGGAAAGGGTAGAGGAGAGAACTAGAAGAAAAGATGAGCAGAGGGAAGGAATCACATATAATAAAATAAAAGTACTCTCTAACCTGTTGGGTAATGGTGTCCCATGGCTCCTGCAGCAGCCGTGACTTGTAACACTCATGGATTCCTTCCCATATGTCCTTCAGAGCTAAAGGTCTTCCATCTGCAAAAGTGCATGGCAAAGACCATCAGTCAGTAGTCTATTTGACACAATGGTGCTTAGTGTTTATCTAAAACTCCTAGAAGAATGCTATGATTTTTTTTTTTAAATCTTTGCTAGTGGTACACATATTACTTATATATCAAAATAGTGCTATATGAATTACTATTTTCTTCCTGAGGGAAATTTAAACATTCAAGCTTCTCTCCTTTGTAACTATCTAGCAGTTAAATTATCTGCTCATTCATTGCCTGTAGGAATTCTGCAAAATAAATAAAATCCAAATGTATTTTAGAGAGAACTGATAGATACAAGCACAGGCAAAGGACCAGGTGGATGGATTCCCATATTCACAAGGGTACACTACGAATACCTCTGAAATCTTAATAATTCCTCTAGTTCTTAAATCAAAGACTATATACACACACTTCTTTCACTCTCTCATTGACTAACTATCTGTAATGTTCAAATCACTCAGCTGAGTACTATGGGGAATAGAGAAAAGGAAAGCACACTGTTTCTCCTAGTAAGAAGCCTACCATCTACTAGGGTAACTATGACAAGTGTATCAATAGAATACTAATACCAAAATACTAGATAGAAAGTCGTTGTTGACAAGAGGAAAACTGCAGTTCTCTGTCAGTCCAGAGGAAGGAGACATTAACATCCACTGTTTGTGGCAGGTGGAGCAAGGGAATTGTGAAGGGTGGGGGGACGTGAGAAGGAATTGGCATGAAGACATTAGGAAAACATACAGCGAACAATAATTCACTTTTTCCTTCTTTAAGCAATTCAACAATTAACCTATAACAATCACAACAATTCACCTATATTCATAACAATCCAAATAGTGTATTTTATCAAGACCACTATGGCACAAGTAGAGAAATAGGTATCTAATATTGTAAAATAAAGTAGAAAGAAGAAATTACCTAAAGACTTTGAAACCCCTGGACAGAAGATGGTCTTACTACTAGAATTTAATGCTACTTGGCCCCTCAGAGCTATCAGGTGCTCAGAGCTTAGGGGTATGCTCCCTTAGGCAAGTGGACAATAGCATTTAAAGAAAGCTCATCAAGGGGGGCCCTGGGTGGCTCAGTCAGCTGAGCACCTGCCTTTGGCTCAGGTCATGATACCAGGGTTCTGGGATGGAGTCCCACATCAGGGAGCCTGCATCTCCCTCTCCCAAACCCACCCACTCCCAGCTCCCACTCATGCTGGCTCTCTCTCTCTCTCTCTCTCTCTCTCTCTCCCAAACAAATAAATAAAATCTTAAAAAAAACAAAAACAAAAACAAAAACTAAAGTACTCTCACTCCTGAGAGCTTTAAGAAAGAAAGAAAGAAAGAAAGCTAGCTCATCAATATATCAAATCATTAGACCCAAAGAAGTATTTGGTCATCAGGTGCAATAAAACTTGGGGAAATAATGTACCCCAACCTCTCCACCATCACCAAGCAAAAGGTATTGTACTCAGATTCATGGAGTTTAAGTAAAGATGTGGACTGTGGAAGAGCACTGGACTTGGAGCCTGGGCTGAGTTTGAATTCTGATGTCGGCACTTACTCTCTGTGACTGCAAGTTATTTGGCTTTCAAGTTTACCTATAAATGAGTATAATTATCCTTCTCAAATCCTGTGCATGTGAATGGGCTTGCATCAGTGCACTGACCCAAAACTGCCAAGGACACAGTCTGAGCTTAATACCTAGTAGGTATCTCTTCCCAGCCCCCACTGCACCACTCCAGTACTTCTCATATTATAAAGCTAAAGGATTCACTTATAGACCACTATTTCTTGGAATTTTCTCATGTTTCTACACCAGGCACATTGTGTTTGATGATATACTAATACTAGAGGCAGGGCATTTCTCATGTTTGACCTGAAAAGCTGAACTTTTCCTCAACCTTTATTTTTAATAAATAGCAATTGAATATTTTGATACATTTTCAATAAGTATTTTCATCTTGGCATTTATCTGGCGGCAGGAGACCATTATCTTGTGATAAATAGTTTTATTCCATTGACATTTCCATGTCTGTAAAATGAACAAGATTTATTCATCCAATTAACATTTGAATGTCATGTTTAGGTACAAGTTAAAACCAAGCTGCCTTCTGTGTTATATTGTTTTCTGTACATATTTACGGAGCAGGGCCAAACTTTGCCCTTAAGATAAGCTCTACATATCTTCAAAATATGCGCACGCATGTGTGTGTGTGTGTGTGTGTGTGTGAGTGTGTACGTGCTGATGTTGGAAGAGGGGAATAGGATCTTAGGTACTTTAATGTCAGATGGTAAACCAAATAATCCAATTATAAAAAGATGACATGCTTTCGAAATAATTTTCAGACATCGATGTTAACAAGAAATCAAGTTGTAGGATAATAAAATGTTTGAGCTGGTACAATTAAGGCAACCAAGGTCTTGAGAAACATACATCAGCCAAAATCATGCAGCCAATTCATGACTGCACTAGAGCTGGAATTGAAGTTTCAGTTCCCTTCCCGCCATTCCCTGCAGCCTCTGGGGGCAGGTGTCAGTGTCCTTTCTGCCGTTCCCTACAGCCTCTGAGCACGGAGACTGTACTTGTCCTTTCACCACTGTAGCCCTACAGTGTAGTTCCAAGCCCCACTCACACACTGCAAATGTTTTATAAATATTTACTGAACAAATGATAAATGAAAGGATGCCCTCCTTAACTTTATTTCCTCTAAGACCAAGAAAGGCTCTGAAGACTTAGAGAAGAATGCTGGGTTTAATATCTGGCCATCAATAATGATTTTAATTTTACTCCTTAAAATATTTCAGCCTACAATCTAAGGGTGGAGTAAGTAGGGGGTTCAGATATTACCACTGTCAAAACCCTGCATACTCTGCTGGAACCATTCATACAAAATGCAATAATCAGCAACTGACAACAATGTGGAAAGACCCAGAACAAATGCAACAGAGTATTTCATCAGATTTGATGCTAGAATTGAGGGCGTGTGATGTGTTTTCAGATAATCTCAAATTTACAAGATGTTAAGTTAACATCTTACAATACAGGAATTAAAACAATGATCTGGTCAACTTAGAATAACAGATAATTACAGAGTTAAAAATATTAAGTTCAGGGCTGCCTGGGTGGCTCAGTGGGTTAAGCCTCTGCCTTTGGCTCGGGTCGTGATCTCAGGGTCCTGGGATCGAGTCCCGCATCGGGCTCTCTGCTGGGCAGGGAGCCTGCTCCCTCCTCTCTCTCTCTCTCTCTCTACTTGGGATCTCTTTCTGTCAAATAAATAAAATCTTAAAAAAAAATATTAAGTTCAAACATAAAAAGATGCATCATGGTCCTACATGCATTTTTGTAAGAGTGCTACCCACTTGCTAGAAAGAGAAGAGTGTTTTCTAAGTGAATAGATGTGACTGCATTCTCTAATGCATTTACAGACTGTTTGAAAATGCATGTATTAAAAAAAGAAAATGCATGTGTTAATGATGATCAAACAAGTCCTGTGCAAGCTACTCTGACAAGAGTGCCAATCTCTCCAGCTTCCGCTGACCATCCACACTGGAGATGATCTGGCTAATAGAGCTTCTTCTCTCACATACAGATATGACAATAACGACTGTGATGTGGCTTCTTTTCTCTACATCTTTACATTGACTTGCCCAGTCACAGTTCATGCCTTACAATCAAAGACATTCAAAAGCTAGTTTCATGATCTTTTATGCTAAAACAAAAAATTTTGACCTAATCAGCAATATCTCCAAAACCATGTCATACAATATCGATGCATAAAATGTATTCAAAATATGATTGTGATTCTAATTATTTCAAAACCAAATGGAACCTTCAGAAATTCCACTGAAACCATTAAACGGAGATCATCAAATATATTTAAAAAATCACGTCATAAAAGTAGAGATTAAATATTGCAGAAACTTGAAGAACTTTGTGATTTTAAATCTATTTATGAAAACCAAAGACCCAAAACTTCAACTTAAAATTAAGTTGTGGGCATAAACAAATACTTGGTTAAGCTCATGAAACACATTATTATGTGCCTTCATGTTCAACTGAAGGTATCTTCAATCAGAAACTTTAAACCTTGCCAAGAGGGTCTATTTTTTTTCTGTCTGGCCTCAGTCAGAGGTGACATAAGCATACTCAATCAACAACTCTCTAGTTTTAAACCCAAGATATTCGATAGCACCAATTTTAACATGTTTAGAAATTTCATTAATCACACTGAGGCTGAGAAGCTCAGTAAAATCCCCTGCCTACTTGAAAAATTGAAGCAGGAGCTGAAATAATTTCAGCAGCAACCCACAAAGTAAGCATGGTAAATTAAGGCCATTCATTTAACAAGTGTTTATTGAATGCCTACTGTGTGCCTCTATCTTCCGGAATGATAACACACATTTGAGCTAAAGGAATATTCTGTCAGCAACCTAGACTGTCAATGTTAAAAGAAAAAGAGACATTGGATGAAAAATAGAATAATTAAAAAGTACAATCTTTAGCAACTGCCAGTAGCATTTAATTTAACAATTTTCATATAAAATCTCTCAATTGAATAATAACCTACATGTCAAGTAATCTATATATTACTCAAAATGTGTAGCTCTCTAAATTAAATTTCTCAAGGCTATTAGTTTTCATGAATCAAATAACAGCGAGAGATTTCACTGGTACCACCTAACTCTAGGGCAAGCATGCTGAAGTCACCTTTATCCTACTGTGCATGGTCCTAAAATGAAGATTATAGAGAATATATCTTATCTACGGTAAATTTAAAAATAATGTTCTGAATGTGGTCACTAGAAATAAAAAGGAAAGGGTGGATTATTCACAGTGCAATATGTCGTTATTCAATATACTGTCTTCAAGAGAGCTTTGAAGGATATAAAAATTCATGTCATACTCCACAGTAAGGCAGAGATGATGCTCCACCAAAGGGGAAAATTCATTTTTGCTTCAGTGAGAAAATTACATTGTGACACAAAATGAGTGTTAATT